TTATCAATTTTTTAGGTTTCCCAACTTTTTTTTTTTAAATTTCAGAACTTAAAATGATATATTTTACATCAGTATTTTCCCCATACATTAAATGCTCTGGTTGAGGCATAATACTTGTACCTTCCTTTGCAAAAACTGAGGAAAATATATAATTTAATAAGTTTACCATCCCGTAATTTTCCCAGATCAGCTCCTCACTATCATTTTTAAGAGGCCCATTCCCCATCTTGACATTTTTTTTACCCATTATATACCTAAAGAATTCCTTATTGTTTGATTTAACTCTCTCGGCCAACCTTCTTTCATATAAAGTTTTTGTCCTTCTAACTTCTTTCTTAACCATTGCTCTTGATTTCCTATAGTCCTCCAAGTTCTTGTTATTTCTTGAATTTATTATGTTTATTTCTAATATGATCTCTTAAACATTTACTAAACTATACTGGCTTGTTCCGCTCTGTGCCCTTTTTTTTTCTGTATGGAATATGTATGCTCTGTATGCATATCAATTTTTCCCTAAATGCTTCCCACACCTGTTCAAGATCCCCTCCCAGCTCTTTAGCCCAATCTACAGAAGCCAGATCACGTCTCATTCCATCAAAATTGGCTTTCCTGAAATTTGAAATCAGGGTACTATTCTTCTTCAATTCTGCATGTGCCAAAATCCCAAACCTAACAATGCAATGGTTGCTTGTACTTAAATGCTCACCAACCACAACTCTGTCTAACATATTCACATCGGATGCTAATATTAAATCTAATATAGCTTCCCCTCTTGTAGGTTCCATTGCCAGTTGGTGTATAAAAGTATCCTGAACAATTTCCAAAAACCTAACCCCCCCTAACTTCAGACTTAAAATTTTCCTACCCCTGCAATTAAAATCCCCCATAATAACATCGTTTCAGCTACCATTTTGATCTCATTATACAGTTTCCCATTAACTTCCATATTCTTACCTGGTAAGTCTATAACAAATCCCAGTTACAATACTTTTCCCTTTATATCCACTAACACTAACCCAAACTGACTCAGTGCTACTTTCTTTAATATGCTTTAACTCAACAGGATGCAATTCACTCCACACACATAAAACTACTACTCCCCCATTTTTCAATTCTCTATCTCTAATGAATAATCTGTAGCCTGGTATTTCAAAAAACTTTCATCAAAATTTTTCAAATCCAACCAAGTCTCAGTCTCATCCCTACATATTGATCTAAGCCTAGCATTCAATCCTAGTGACCTACTTAGTATCTCCTTCCCACAATGTATTCTTGGCAATATCCCTGACAAAATCTGACCCCTTTCCTTAAATGCCCTCATCAGTGTTTTATACTTATCAATAAGCTCCTCAGATCCATCTTTCCTTACATCATTAGCCCCAACATGTACCACAAAAGCTGCATAGGTACTAGCATCCTTAACTATCTCTCTGGTTCTGTTGGTTATATCCTGTACCCCTACTCCTGGATAGCATAAGTGTATTCTTTTGCTCCTTTTTACTCCATATACTACTCTATCTACATGCTTAATTAGAGTCACCTACAACTATAACTTCCCTTTTCTTTGCACTATCATCCCTTGTGATCCCATCTGTTTCCCTTACCTGCTCTCCCCATCACCAGCAAATGCTTGGAACTGGTTGCTTAACCTGAACCCATGCCTATCCTTGCCCCTAAATGTAATATTTTCCAAGTTTTTAGCCCTATTTCCTTTCTTAGCTCCCTTGAAATCCTGTTTGCCAACTGTACCCTTTGCTTGTAGAAGTTAAAGTTCTTCACTAACCCTGCCACCACTTAAAGCAATTTACATTTCTCCTTTTTCACCTCTGAAATTCTACCCCCAAAAAAACCCTCCAATTTCTTCTCTAACCTGCACACCTTGCAAATAAATTGTACATCCTGGCTACTAGCCTCCCTAAAAGTACACTTTAACCCAGAGTATAAAAATAAAACACTCTCTTGGCATCTATCATACTTTATCAACTGAGAACCCTTAGTACCTAGACTATTCTAAACCATAGTTGATAATTATATTGACTGTAAAGTTTAATGAAATTAAGATTATATTTATTGTGCTATTAGTGTTACTATTAGTACTAATGTGTAACAAGTTTGATCTAACTTCACTAGCTTACTATAATGAATATTCAACGCTAATCTCTATATATAAATAATAATATAATAGGTTATAAATATTATAAGCAAACTCCCATCTTTAACCAAAAATTTTACAACCAAAATATATTTAACGTTAAGCCTAATGATAATAGTAAACAAGTAACTATGAGTTATTGTGATCTGATTTAAATATTTTTTTTTCTTTAAATGTCAATACTTATCAAAAATTAATTATGAGTTATCTATTAATAAACAATTTTCAAATGATAACTGTTAGATTTTATTTAAAATAAATGCCTCATCAGTTAAAAACCTACCACTAAAATTTAACTTTAAGCCTAACATTAATAGTAAACGAGTAACTGTGTAATTGTAATCCAATTTATACTTAATTTTAAATACACTTTTTATTTAAAATATCAATACTAATCACAAATTAATTTTACAATATCTATTTCTAAACAACTTTTTAATGATGCCTATTAAATGTTATTTAATTATATGGCTTATCTTATCTCTTTTCTTTACTGTTGCAAAAAGACTTCCTATCTCAGTTAATGCACCCTCAGTTAAAAATGGCCTAAGTGCTTATGGTGGGTGCTATTTACTAGCTACCTTCCCTCATGTGTGTCACTTCAAAGTTATGGATGTTTGTACACAGTAAACTATTGTGTAGCTTTGCATTAAGTACAAAAACAAACAAAGTATATTTCCTGCCCAAAATCTGATGTCACTATGCCTTTACACAAGTTACACGTAACTGTCAATTTCTAGTACATGACTGATGTGTTATTCTACTTTTCTTTAGGATGTGTAGTTGTAGGTATATATTAATGTCTGTGCACACTGAAGTATTGTTAAAAAGAACATTGAAACAACAATTTTTTTTAAAATTTGATTGATGTATATATGAGTATTAAAATATTAAGTATGTAACTTAATTTCTCTGATGTAAAATTTGATGCAGGTTCTTGGAGCTGCCACTTGTGTACTGAAGAATTTCATGGAAGAAGGAAACAGATGGAGTAACTTAATTTAGCTTAAACACTAGTCCTAAGTACAACAAATTTCTGCTTTTTTTGAAAGTTTCTGGTTTCATATATCAATGTTTTCTGTCTTATTGTGTGTTTTAGGTGGTAGAAAACAGAATTGTTGACCTATTCTTTCATGTCTGAAAGTGGTAGCTGTATTATATACCACAACAACTAAGAACTGGATGGTTGTCAAACTTGTATGATTTCTTTTAACTATATCTGTATATAATAATTTTAGATTTTATTTTTAGTGTTGTTTACAATGCAGCAGGTTCCGAGTCCATTACAAATATTACTGTTGATTTTTTTCTTAGTTTAAGAATCACTAGACTGTCTTCATACTTGGATGTATTCAGCATTCAAGAAGATTCTTTATTTTCTGAATCTTATCTAGAATTCTACCAATAAATGGCAAAACCACAGACATGAGGAAATCTTTTTTTAGCAAGTACATTTGGTGAATTTGAAATGCTGGATATTTGTACTTGCTAAAATGCTGATATAATATATGCTTTTGATCAAAGCAAGCTACATACATAGATAAGAACTAAAAATCACCAATTAATAAGTTAATTTAATAATTTATTCTTATTCGAATGCATTGTTTCATCAGCTGAGTATTCTCACTGTTAGCAGTATTTTAATATACTGGGTAATGATATCTTTCAACTAGTTGGATAATTATGTCATTCACCTAGTTTAATATGTTGGGTAGTTATGTCATTCATCTAGCTTATTGTACTGGATAATTTTGTCTTTCAGCTAGCTTAATGTGCTGGGTAAAGAGTCTGCTAAAATATTTACATATTTTATTTTAATTCTGTTGCTAGAAGCAAGATAGATCCATGATAAAAATCTTTGATGATTATCTCAGCTTGTTAGAAATATGATCATCTTCATAACTAAAGATGATACTACTATGAAAAACTAGATTTGTATGTTTTCTTTAGACCTGATCTGAAATATAATTTAGGTGAAACTGTGAAGAAATTACCTCAGTAATGAATTGCACATGAATACAATAAAATTAGTTAATGTAATACTTCCAGTAGTGGATATCAGTATTTGGTAGAATACATAACAGAAATATAAATGTGTTACAAAAGAGTAGACAACAATTTCCTCCTATCTTCATGTTCCTATTTACAGACTAATTTTGTTTCTCTTTTCAGTTTAGATATTGTTTTGTGCTCTAGCCATTAGTTATAATTTTTGCTTTTCTAAAATTCCACTCAGTTTCTTAACCTGTCAACTCTGTTAAAAATGTTGAGTGCTCAATTACCTATTACATAACCCTAAATTTTTTATATTGTCATTATTCTAAACCATCAGTTTCTTTTATCAACCTAAACTATGTTACCTTTGATATTATCCTAAACTATTTGTTTTTGCCATTAACTTAAACTCTTCGTTTCTGTCATTACCTTAAATTATCTATTTCTTTCATTATTCTAAACTCCTTGTTTCTGTCATTATTTTAAACTATCTGTTTTTGATATTACCCTAAACTCCTTGTTACTGTCATTAACCTAAATTATTTGTCAATATCCTGAACTATCTGTTTTTGTTATAAACCTAAACATTATGTTTTTTCATTATTGTAAACTTTTTGTTTCTGTCATTAACCAAAACTATTTGCTTTCTTTGCCATAAACTGTTTGTGCCATTATTCTTAACTATCTATTTTTTGTCATTACCATAAATTCATTGTTATTATTCTAAACTCTGTCTATCTGCATTATGTTAATTAAGAATTATGTTTCTAACGATGAGTCTTATTAACAAAATGTTTAAGCACTAAGTTTGGTATTAGGTGTGACTTCTGTTTTTAAAGAACAATCAAATACCAACACATTACAGTTTACTTGTATAAGGTGAGTGTTATTAACACTGTTAAGATCTAGATTTTACTAGTTTTATGTTATGAACTAGATCTGTTAATGGGGTTCAGGAGGTTTAAAGAGGGTAAGGAACCCAATTTTTAAGCTTATGTTTACCACACATGCACTACCTCAGTTTTATTTGTATGAAAATAATGCATGTCTTAAAGTTTAATAATATTGATGGTTATATAAGTTGAAACAATCATTGTTGAGCGTGGTGGCACTTCAGATGATTCACTATTATTGTTCCTGCATTGTAGTCATTTGGACATTCTTTCCAGACTTCCTAGTGAAAACCAGCCGACTATCAAATGGTTTTCGTTTTCTTTATAGAGGTTAATTGTTTCATTAAAAAGAGTTTAGTATCTATTTGATGAAATTGTTTGGTTATAAGATACTGGTTATATAGAAATGTCAGCACTTTAATACGTATGTGATGAGATTGTAAAGTTGTATTGGTTGTAAGATACTGGTTACATAGAAATGTCAGCACTTTAATACGTATGTGATGAGATTGTAAAGTTGTATTGGTTGTAAGATACTGGTTACATAGAAATGTCAGCACTTTAATACGTATGTGATGAGATTGTAAAGTTGTATTGGTTGTAAGATACTGGTTACATAGAAATATCAGCCCTTTAGTATGTATGTGATGAGACTGTGAAGTCAGCATTTTGTTTTTTCACATGATTCAGGTTAATTAGTGTATCAGAATATAGTTCAGAAGTTTATTTTTGAAGAACTACAAGGTACTGATGTGAATATAGACATAAAGGTTTACTAACTAAAAAGTGATAGAATATTATTAATTTCAAACTTAAAAGAAAATTAAACAGTATTTTAATGTTAAGTACAATATTAATTGTGTAAAATGGAAAACTGACTTTAAAAGCTTATGCAAATTTAGTTATTATTATGATGAGGTGGGAGGTTTGATAATGTTACTGGAATTGAAAATTAGTATTATACTGTGTACTAAAATGTTTTTTTTTTGGTATGGGCCTGTTCTGTGTAATATCTTAATTAGCTGTTACTAACCAGTGGTAGAAGGGACACTTAGAAACTCACTGTTGTGAGCTATTCTTGTTTCTCTTATTAAAAAACTTTTACTGCCTTATGTCATTAAAACTGTACTGTTGTTTTAGAAGAGATGTTAATTTCTCCTATATTAAACATAATTTGTACTGCCCTGTTCATGTAGAAGATGTGATAGTTTTTCTTGTGGCAAAACGTATACTGTTTTATGTCCTTAACTTCACTGGAACTGATGAGAGTGGACTTTCTGTGAAAGAAACTATTTTGTGTTTAATAAACACAACCTTTTGTCACTTTAAACAAATGGATGACTGTTTCTTGAATAGAAGCTATCATTCATATTTCTTTCAACAATATTTAGCAACATATAGATGTCATAGATATTACATAAGTTTAAAGAAATGAGAAGATGATATTTTAAGTGTCTTTAACTTGTTAATTTATATGAACTATGTGGTGTTATTTTGCACCAGTATATTATTCTGATATAATTCATTTCACATTGAAGTAAAAATTGTCATTATATTTAAAATATTGAGAAACTTCTAATACTTATTTACCTACATTCACTACTGACACTTCATCAAAACTTTCCATAAGTGTTTGAAACTCATGATGTTTTTCAGCAAACAAATATTTTTAACTTTGCATCATTATGCTAGGGATCAACAATACTATGGTGTAACTGATATTTTAATCAATTTTTTATGCAAGAAAAATTAGTCCTTTAGCTGTAACAGACTTATTTACTTCAAAGATGAGCTTCTAGCTTAAAGTTGTAATCTGATATTGTGTTCTGGATTTGTTGCACATTTGTTGTTTTACTGTAAATGTGTTTCTCATTATCAGCCAGAAGTCTAGATTTTGTTAGAAAAGCTGTGAGTCACTGGATTTATGTTTTTATTTATTGTTACAATCTTAATCAAGCTTTTTGGTTTTGGTGTATCAATCAACCCAATTTCACAGAAATAATAGTTATGGTTTTGGTGTTACAATCAACCAAACTTCACAGAAATAATGGTTATGTTTTTGGTGTAACAATCTCAACCAAACTTTGTTAGAGATAAGCCAACATATATTGGAAAAGAAATCTTTGCCATTGAGAAGTGCATAAAGTATTGAATACCTCTCATCAGTAATATTAAGATTAGTTGAAATAATACTGATCTATTTTTAACACAGTATTAAAATGAATTTTTTAATTAATCCCAACTCCAGTTTAACAATGTTAAAATTCGTTTTTAACTAATTCCAAATTGTGTTTAACACTGTAGTAAAATATATTTTTAAAACCATTTCCAACTCCTGTTTATTGTAGTAATAAAATACACTTTGACTAATCCCAACTCTTGTTTTACACAATAATGAAATACACTTTTTAACCATTCTCAACCCTTGTAACTTTTGAAACTGATCTCCATTCTTGTTTAACATAGTTGTAAAATACACTTTCTTTTAACAATCCCAACTCCTGTTTAATAGTATTGAAGAGCAGTTTTAACTTTCTAGTATACTTGAGTCAAATGTCATTAATTCTGCATTTCTGTATTTTATTACTTACAGTAATTGAATCATATAATTGATATTTTTTGAAGCACCTTCTTACAGAGGATTTCATATATATATTTCCTATCAAACTTAAAAGCTATCTACTAAGGAAACCCTTGTGTTTAACAGTGCTAATATGTATGTCATTCAAGACAGGGTATAATATCTAGTTAAATCATCCACCTAGCAAATTTTCACAGTTTCAAATCCCTCTCAGTCTCACTTTTCATTTTTACAAAAATGAATAATTCAAAGAAAATGGTTCATGTTCTGAAAGATCTGAAGAAGTTAAGATTGACAAACTGTATTGGTCTTGCATCAAAATAGTTCTAATCCTAAGGAAATTGTACAACATTAGGGATAAAAATTATTTGGTAAATCACATTAAAAAAAACTGATTGAATCTTAATGCTTTTGATAAATGAACATGTCTTCTGCATTAGCTCAATGCTAAGCTTGAGAGTTTATAATGCTAAAAATTTGGGTTTGATATCTGCAATGTGCACAAGGTTTTTCAGAAGAAAGATGGCAGCAGGTTCATCTGCTATGGTTTCAGTTTGTTTTTCTCTGTTATCTACATTCTGAATTGAAACTTTCAGTTTGTTTTTCTCTGTTATCTACATTCTGAATTGAAACTTTCAGTTTGTTTTTCTCTGTTATCTACATTCTGAATTGAAACTTTCAGTTCTCTTAATATCACATTAATCAAATTCCTAAATGTTGATTTGGTAAATTTACCCTTAACTTTATAAGATCATATTTTGGTTCTTCTAGTCAACTTGACAATCATTTGGCTTAGAGTTTAAGGATGGTGAACTTCTAAAACTATTTAGTTTCGATTTAGTTAATTAAGTAAAGGAATGATTTTTGCATAATGCTTATGACCATGTAAGAGTTGTGTAGTGCAAATAGTGATCAGTCTGGTAAACAATGAGGAAACATTAAGAATTTAGCATTTTGTTGTTAGTTTTCATCAAAATAAAAATATCTTTACATACTTTATGCTCATTAAAATGAAAAAATATATATAACTTGTAGAAGTAAAGACTACATGGAGAACCAAGTTTTATACTTACAAAGCACCTGATCTAACATATTCCTATAGATTTCTATACATTGCTGTTCTGAGAGTGAGGGAAGTACCCTGTGCCTGAAATATGAAGCAAAATGCCAAATAATGAAATGATTTCTTTCAATGCAATTTATGTTACTTCAACACAAACCACATTGTATTTAATAAACATTGAAAAATTAATTTAGTGTTAACAACAGTATCATCTTAGTCAGTAGTGTTTGTGTGTGAATTCAGACCTTCCAGCATGTTGAGGTAAGTTGCTTTTTAATGGCAGTATCATCTTAATCACTAATGTATGTGTGTGAGTTCACACTTTCCAACATATTGAGATACCTTGGTTTTAATGGCAGTATCATCTTAATCACTAATGTATGTGTGTGAGTTCACACCTGCCAACATATTGAGATACCTTGGTTTTAATGGCAGTATCATCTTAATCACTAATGTATGTGTGTGAGTTCACACTTTCCAACATATTGAGATACCTTGGTTTTAATGGCAGTATCATCTTAATCACTAATGTATGTGTGTGCGAGTTCACGCCTTCCAACATATTGAGATACCTTGGTTTTAATGGCAGTATCACTTTAATCACTAATGTTTGTCTGTGAGTTTATATTTACCAGCATATCTAAATAAATCAAAGAATTAATATAAAAAATCTCCATTAACCACTAACTCGTGCAGTTTCCATGTTGTTATTGTCTTGTATGCTGGAATAAGTAATATGTTTTTTGTGTATTTATTGCATCAATACTTGGTGAGTTACAGACTAGTATGCTTCAAAATTTTGGGATACAACTGTACTGTAACAGGTTATTTAAAAATTAAAATACTCAATGTTATAAAAGCTGACTGAAGGACTCACTTTTGAGCATTACTTAGTGAAATATATATATATATATATATATATTAGATATTGTAGTACCATCAGATAATTATCATCTCTTTCTCATAAATCTTAGTTGCTTTGTGGTCAGCATGCTTAGACTGTGAATCAGAGCTTCATATATGTGGCCCGTTGCTGCATAAATGCATTCCACAATTCACAATCTTAGGTGAACTATAAGAGTCACAATGAAATCCCACTGTTCAATTAGATAATAGTTAATGGTGGGTGCTGTTGACTAGCTGCCTTCTTTCTAGTTTATCAATTCAAAATTAAAGATGTTTATGCACAGATAGCCCTTTGTGTAAACTTGTGCAAAAATTAAGAGACAGACCAGTTCATATATGTACATGTACTATACCAACTGAATATTCTGGTATTAAGTCATATAGCTGTAAGATTAATCCACTGAAAAGTTTTGAACTGAACTTACTGAATTAGTTTTCATTTTAGTAAGTAATTTACACTTGAATTCCTAATGAAAATATGTAATGTTTTATGAAAATATGCAATATGAAGATAGCCCATAAGTTTTGATTTCTGTTACTTGACTTCCATGTGAAATTAGTTCAACTTATAAACCTTGTTTTGAAAGTATCAAAATGGGTGGTAGTAAGTTAGGTCTTTGAAGGTCATGGGTGTGGTTTTTAATAAATATATAACAGTGCTAAGCAAGCTGTGAAAGCTAGGACTCTATTCATTGTAATGGAAATCTGTTTCACCAATCCCACTCATGAGTCTCAGTTTGGAATTTCCAGCCTTGCATCATGACACATTTAATAATGTTAAGAGGAAATGGCTATTTGTCACTGAAAGCAACAGTTCTATCAAAGAGTTTGGTTTGACACTCATTATTTATGTATATTTTCTACTTGACTTAATAACAGGATATTTAAGGACTAAAATTGTTATAAAAGTTGACTGAGTAATTCACTTATTAGCATTACATATTGAAATATATATATAATCGTTTTTTGTAATGCATTGTAGTACCATCAGGTTATTATATATCTCTTTTTTTGGAAAGTTTTATAAAGTACAACGACTGTACCTGAAACAGTTTTATTACTTCCATTCATTTTGGAAGCAGTAATTTACATAGTTCAGTTGTATAAATACACTTGTGATACTGAAGTTCTTGGTATTAGTTTTTATCTAACAGTTCAATATTTCAAAGTTATGTGCTTCTGTCCTTTTCATTTGCTGTATGCCTGTGAAATTGGAGCAGTATGAGAAGAAGCTAAAATTGTATACTAAGTGTATTTAATGTGGTGATATCATGAAACATGTTAGTAAAGATTGTTCAGTTGATGAAACATGATTTTAAACAAGTCGTAATATCCTACAGAGAAGCTGCTATTACTATTTGATCAGCTTATAAATGTTATCTGGTAGAATTAACTTGCAAAGTACATTCTCTTACACCATTTATGGCCATTCTTCCTTTGCAGTAGTAGTATGAGGATCTGTTGCTATTATGATTGTCCTTCGTTCAGGATAGTTAAAGATTGCTACAATAATCAAATAATTATGTTATTAGGGAAGTAAAAAAATGCCTCAGTAATTATGATAATTATATGTTGAGGGTGATTAAATAGTTTAGTAATTATTTTAATTACATATTGAGGGTAATTAAATGGTTTAGTAATTATGATAATTATATGGTAAAGGTACTTAAACATAGCTTCAGTAATTATGTGTTGACAGCAATAAAATGTTCTTCAATAACTATACCGTAAAGATAATTAAAAGTAGCTATGATAATTATATGTGGAGGATAGTTACATTATTACAATTTATTGAGGTTATAAAACTTGGGAAGTTTTTGGAAAGTGGTTGTGATGGCTGCATTATTTTGTTAATGTTTTTATTTTTTTCTTCTGGTAACTAAGGGTACTTTCCAGTGTAAATTTCAGTAATAAAGAAACACATAATAAAAAATGACATAACATACATGTGAAACCAACAATTTAAAATATTACCACTTGCTAATTAAGACAATAAAACAAATAAAAAGAAGTATATTATTAAGTAATTGTATTTAACTTGTTCACTGTATAATTTAGCATAATTATGAATTGTATTAATAAAGGCTGTCCCAGGGTGGGACAACAGTATGTCTAAAGATTTACAATGTTAAAATCTGGGGTTCCATTGCCACAGTGGACACAACAGATAACCCATTGTGGCTTTGCTCTAAAAAAACAAATATAAAGACTTTGTTTGTATTAACTTAATTGACAACCTTTATGCACATATGGTCTAAAGGTGGTCAAATAGTTAAAGTGCTCCATTCATGAACAGTTTTGAATCACCACTAACATCAACTGTTAGTAAATGCAGCCACTTTTTCATAGTATACATAATTAATGTGTGTTATTGAATGCTTTAAAGTGTGTGTAAAATTTTTAAAAGACATATTTCAAGATATTAAGGGATATTTATTTCTATGTCTTTATGCTGTTTGTGCAGAAACATTTAAAATGTATGGTTCTTCATGTGTTACATTTGGTAAAAAGAATAATAAATTGCTCAACATGTAGTCCTGTTTGTTATAATTGTTAATCAGTTGTCATGTAAGTTATTGTACTAGAAATATTCCAACAAGTGATTGTGTGTATTAACTTGAGAGAAGAGTTAAATTTTATCTATGTACTACCATGACCATTTGTCTTTTGATGTTCCTATGTATTGTTGTAATAAGAATTTCTAGTGGACTATTTTCTTTGTGTCGTTTATTTTAACAACACATTCATATATCCTAACTAAAAATCATTTTGAACCTATTTAATGTCACTTTTTATAAAAGTTCAATCCTTTACTTTTAGGCTAATATATTGACTTGTCAAAACCCGTATATACACGCAAACACACACACACACACACAAACAGCAGCTATGTCACAGTAATGTGCTTACAGGAGTTCCAGTATGTTAAAACAAACTTAATATGCAAATCATCATGTCATGTAACTACCACAACCAGTATGAAGTTGTAGTGGAATGAGATGCATCAAAGCTACATAAGTCATCATAAATAGTGTGATGATGGCACCAAAAATTGATAATTTTTGGGAAGGGTGTGTAACAGCCTTTTCTGATGCAAAATATTCATATATTCATTTTAAAATTTTGTTCAGAATGGGGATTTAGAATTTTCAACATGCGGATATCCATTGTACTTTAAGGCAGTAGAAAACAATATCGATTAACTTGGGGCATCAAGACAACCCAGAAAGAGACCTTCAGCAGCCATGGTAAGTGAAGTGCAAAGTCTTGCAACAAGTGATAATTCATGGACACAAAGGCCACCAGCATATGCACCATGATCAAGAAGGATCTATATCTGGAAAAATGATACAATTTATGTATACACAAGTTGCTTCCGCTCATAAAAGTCAAGGAGCTGGAGAAAGAGACTAATTCATACGGACATACTGGTCAAATTGCTGGATTGACTGTCTATGGATTTCTATGCAGAAGGGCAGCTGAAATGGTGACTGCGAAACCATCGTCCTTGTACACTAGATGAACTATGGGAAAACCAGTAGGGAAGAGTGGGATGCTTTGGACATGACAGCCTTATAGCAGAACCTTTTGCAATGAAAACATTGATGCAGGTCTATTATTAGATAGAGCATGACTGGGCATAACATGGACTGTAATGACGGGTTGTGGCTCCAAGATTATTTTATTATTACATATTCAACCTTTATCTCGTATTGTATTATAAAATTTCACGATCATATGCGTATGACGTATAACATTTGTCACACTAATGTGCTTATGACTTATAAAATTTGCCATGGTACCGTGCATATTACACTTTGGGAATTTGTCATGCTAATGTGTTTATCACACCCTTAGAAATTTGTTGAAGTAACTTGCAATGTGTGTTTTGGCATGGCCAGTTTGTTAAGGCGCTTGACTCGCAATCTGTGGGTCGCGGGATGGAATCCCCGTCCCACCAAACATGGCCACCCTTTCATCCATGTGGGTATTATAATGTGATGGTTAATCCCGCTATTCATTTATAAAAGATTAGCCCAAGAGTTGGCGATGAGATAAGAAGCTGACTTCCCTCTGTTCTTTCACTGCTAAATTAGGGACGGCTAGCACAGATAGCCCTCTTGTAGTTTTGCGCAAAAATTAAAACAAACACTAATGTGTTTATGATACTAAATGCAGCGTGATTCAAGAAGGCCATTGACAGGCATGTCCTATTGGTCAGTGTTCCCAAACAGTGAATCCAAGGGTTCATGGTTCGTATACTGTTACTTTTGCATTTTGTGATTGTAAGTGCGTTATAAGATTGCTGGTGAAATTCCATTATTTGTTCACACAAGAGTAGCTCAAAAATTGATGGTGACTTGCTATCTTCTTTCTAGTATATCGGTTCAAAACAAGGAACGGCTATTCACAACTAACCCTTTGTGTGAACGTCCTGAAGTAAAAAATCTTTTACAAGGCATAATCATTATATTAGTTAGTGAATAAGCACTCAAAGAGGCATAGCATCGTCTGGTGGTTAGGATACTTGACTTGTAATCTCTGGGTTGCGGGATCGAATTCCGTCACCAAACATGTAATCCCATCTTAGGCAAGTGATTTTATCTTTTTTTTAGTCGTACGATAATATTAAAGGAAATGTAGAAAATAGCAATTATTTGTTTGTTTATTTTAAAACAAAATTATATTGGGCTATCTAGTGTTTCCACCGCAGAAAATCGAACTTCGTATTTTAGCGTTGTAAGTTCATAAACTTACCGCCGTCTCACCGAAGAGCAACAATAATTTAAAAGGGAGTTTGTTGCTTTTCATAAAATTTAAAGTTTAAGAGTGATCCATACAAACAAAAACATGTAAATAATCTAACATTGAAAGTTTATTGATTGAATACATTTCGATGGTTTTACATTAATTGATATCCGTTTCAATTAAATATGTGGTAGTGTAGGAAACTAACACAAACAGTTTTAATAAATGTTAAGTTTACCTGCATATACAGCATAAAACCCTTCTAATACGGATTTTTTAGTTCTGGGATGAACATAACCTTGTTTGTTCGATGAGTGTCTAAACTCGTGTTATTTCTGTTTATCCATTATTCACCAGGACTGATGCAACCATGCTCATCCCCGTTAATGCAGAAGGTACCATCATCATCATGATGCTCAGCAGGAAGAGCCGGAAGAGGGACATCAAGGATGGTGGCTTTACAAGAGATGAGAGTGTTAAAAAACTAGATGGTGAAGAAGGAACAAAAACGCCCGGTGACGATGGAACAGTAATGCTGGAAGGATTTACTACAGAAGCACTCAAAAAGTTGTTATAGCTTCCAAAATTTGTTTCTTCACTGGCAATATTGCCTTCTGTAGAAGCAAAGCTGTTATAGTTTTCAACATTTGTCTCGTCACTGGCAACATTACTTTCTGTAGATGTAAAGATCTGAGAATAAAGTTCATCTATACTGAATGGCTCAGAAGAGCTCACATTTCTGTCTGACTCTTCTTCTTCCAAAACTGGTGAGCTGACATAAGTAGTTTCATTTTTATCACCCTGATGAGCAACAGTGATTAATCCTTCATGTATAACAGAAGTTTTAATATGGGTATCGTTTTGTTCAAGACCGTTTACTATAACAGGTCTGGACATGATGAGATCAGGCCCTTTGATCAAGTCCCCAACTAACTCATTGGCAGTTGATGTATAAACAGGTTGTATTATCAAGGGTATTGACGGTTGTTCTACGTCAGAGAAAATGCTTTCTGAAGTAGCTTCCAGTTGTTGTGATGAAGAATGTGAACTATATTCAATATTTTCCTCATTAGCAAAGGAAAATGGTTTTAAAACTGTCAAAGAAGGGACTCTGTTTGTGGAGGATTCCAGACTCTGTAGCTGATTATGTGGCCCGTAGCTAGAGATCTTATGATGATTAATCAAAGTTAGAGGCCTGCTGGCTGGTTTGTAGTAAGTGCTGGGCCTGATTCTCGTGAGTACATTTGGCATGGGATGATAAACTGAACCAGGAGGCTTATGATTGTTTGATACAACAGTGCTGGCATTACTAGGAAACCATCTCCACATTTGTGAAAAAGTGTTTGAAACTTTAGGTCTTTCAGAAGCTCTTGATATATGTGTTGTAAGCTCACCCCGTAGTGTTATCTTGTCTTTATTCCGAGGTTCAGATACTTTTGTAGAAGATGAATTTGATGAGTTTGTAGGATTCAGTGCCTCTTGCGATGTCCAAGTTGAATGTTTTGGTTGTGATGAAGTGTAGGAATGAAGAATTGTGGTTTTGCCACTGAAGTCCTTGGTGGAATACAAAGCACTATGTGTTCTATAATCCTGGTTGTAAGGTTCACCAGAAATGTAAGCTTGTCCATTTTTAGTGTAATTCTGGTTGCTGGGATCACTGGGAATGTAAGCTTGTCCTTTTATACTGTAATCCCAGTTGCTAAAGTTGCCATAAATTGTACTATAATTCTGGCTTCTAGAATTGCTGGAAACGTAAGCTTGATCTTTTGTATTGTAATTCTGGTTACTGGGATGACCAGAAACATAAACTTGCTCTTTATGTAAAAATTGAGTGTTATCCTGTTCTTTCTTGGGTATTTGTTTGATTAGTAATAAAGTACGTTTAACACTTGTTTGGGCTGAAGTGCCATTTAGTGACTCGTCAAGAATATAAAGTGGCAAAAAAAAGACGATACACTTTCTTTGTGACCATTGTCGTTAAAATTAGATCCGTTTCCTAAAGAAAGGGGAAAGTTGTCTTTATCCTGGAGCTTCAAATTAGGTGTTAAAATAGTATTGTGTACAAAGTTCATCACGCGGGAGTTTCGAATGGAATGAGAAGCAGGGGACGCTGTGAGAACCAAACCTTCAATAACAAACAGACACGTCATAAAACATGTGCCGTCAGCAGAAACTGATGGGGTCATCATTGATATTCTTCACGACCTTGAAACAAAATAAAATAAATTTTGAACAATTCTGGTAATAACATTTAAAGAAAACAAGGGACTCGTTTGTCCATCTAAGCTATCCCATGCACTAAACTAAACAACTAAGAAAACCCTTCAAAGCCAGTCCTTATCGTTCAAATATTTATTAAGCCTACTCTTAAGCTCCCTTAAATCTACAGCTTCCACAATACATGAAAGCATTCCGTTCCAAAAACAGTCGTAATTAAAAATTACTCCTACTCTGCTAAAGTCTATGGTTGTAGCCTCTAGTCCTATCGTTATCAAATTTAAAGACGAAAATAGAAAGATGATACATTGACACTATCAATTCCATTAATAGTCTTAAATACATCAAATTCTTTCTAACTATTCTTTTTCCAAACGAAAACAATGTTAGAAATCTTAACATCTTCTTGTATGACAACCTATTCACCCAGGTATAATTCTAGTAGTTTTCTTATGGACCTTTTCCAACAATTCATTTCCTTCCTAAGATAAGGTGCCCGAGATTGAACACAATAATCTACATGAAGCCTAATGAGTGAATTCTACAATGAAGTTATAACATTTTTAGACTTACTTGTATGTTAAATATTTCTGTATATAGAACTTGTAGCCCTATTTACTCTGCCACTAGCAACAGCACACGGCTTGAGATACTGATCAATCAGAACATCAATATTCTTTTCTTCCATAGCACTCTTAAGGTTGTTCCTATCAAAATTATGATAAGTTGCATGCATTACTTTGCATTTA